AGGGGGAGGGCGGCGCTGGTCTGGAAAAGCGGCTGTCGGTGTCCGCGGGGGCCCCGGGCCGCCCTTCCCACCTCCCGCTGCCGCCGGGGGGAAGGCGCTGCTTTTGCTGCCGAAACACGGCATTAACTGTCGTAGAGAATCGCATGTCTTAGTTTTGTGTGTCTAAAACACTTTTCGCAGCTACTATGTCGGGAACAGGTACTGTTTGATATACTATTACAAATCTTTCTTGACAGACAACGGAGAACAAGTTTTGGTTGACGTGGAAGATAAAACCAACAAAGAGATAACTGAGCACATTAAAAAAATCTTGGGCAAAAGCAAGTAAGTAACACTTCATAAGCTAATGTACAGTCTAGCATACATCATAATACAACCCCTGCAAACGTTTTGTTAGGTACACAGATGGAAATAGCTCTTTTGACAGGAGTTAGGTCAAGTCCACAAGCTGAGAACTGTGAATCCATCTGTCTGGTAAATTGGGTCCAGGGCAGGGAGAGGAAATGTTGCTGTTCAGGCTTCTGATAGTAACAAACAGATCTCTTTTTTTAGAGAGACGCTTGAAAAAGAGGAAAGAGAAAGGAAAGAACTGTCACACCCAGCAACTTTTGGGCCCAAGAAGTATCATCTGCGAGAATGCATGTGTGAAATTGAAGGCCAAGTTCCTTGCCCTGCTTTTGTGCCACTGCCTAAAGAGATGAGGGGGAAATACAAAGCTGCTATGAAAAATGAAGCATCAGCCTGACATCTCACAGTTGTTTTTCCTCAGGGCTGGATGATGATTAAGGTACTTAAGTGAAAGACAAGAGCTAACAGTTCCTGAACACAGGAACAAGCAAGTTCATATGAGACAAAGTTTTCTGTATTATAAGTCTTCTTACAGCTACAATAATTTAAGTGAAAAATAAAAACAAGTTAAAAAGCCAGCTTTTTTGGTGCTAGTTTTACAAAGCTTTAAAGCCAGCGGTGCTTGAAAGGAAAACAAGGAAAACAATGACTACAGCCCCATTTCCTACTCATGGCTGCACATACAAGGTTATGGCAAAACCAAGATCATGTTTGTTTTGAGATAGTCTAGTCTCTCTATTATAGAGGCAGCCCAGAATTCCACAATTTATAGAAAGTGGTATAAGTGTTCCTGCCAATTTCCGTCTTGTACTAACTGAAGATAACGCTATCATTTGGCTAACTGTGCTGAATTTTCTTTATTTAGTTATGTCCTGGTTTGAGGTTAAAACAGGACCTCAAACCCGGACAAGTTACCACTCAGAATCAGTCAGGTGTCTCATTTACAACAAGATACAACTTTGGCAGTTTGATAGTGCAGCTCTGAGCAGCACTGATACAGTTGAGCATCAGCAGTAAAGGAGAACATGTAAGTTGGTATTTGAAAGATAGGCTTTGCTATTATCTTTATTGTCCTTCCAAAAAAATTTAAAGCTACTCTTAAAACTATTTCCTAAACAGTCTTCCTTTAAAAGACAAAACAAAATCTCAAACAAAAAGCTGTGTCTAGATTTATTAACTTCCAGCAAATTGTAGCCAGCACATCCATTGTGCTTCAAAGCCCAGTGCTGCTATATAATTCTTGTCACCTCAGACACTCCTGCTCCTTGCACATGGTCAGAAAAACCCGTTCTAAATCAGCATAGCTTCTGCCTCACCAAACAATTACACTCCTACTTTAGTAGTATATAAACATATGATGGATTGTACTATATTGCTTAGAATTTGGTAGTTGCACACACCTTTAATTCAGGCTCTATATGCAAATTACTGTAGAATTATTTCAGCATTGGTTGATGTAAAAAATTGTAAAAAAAAAATCCTGTAAAAATTGTCAGGGATGAAGACAGCACAAAATAAACATATTGTTTTATTTCTTCTCTGCTTACAAAGTTTCCATACAGAGTAGTGCATGCAATGGTTAAGACGTCTCCATTCTGATGTGCCCCATGAACCTCACAGCAGTCCGAATACCAGCATAAGGTCTTCACTTTGGAGATGACTTTAGTATCAGATGTCTAGTCTATCACATTTAACACTGACAGAAGATCATGAGGTATGCTAGTCTGTTATCTGCTTGTAAAAATACATCATTACATGTACAACAAGGATACTTTAATTATTAGTGTATTAGACTGAAAATACAGACAAGGTGGGATAGTTGCAACAAGGAAAAAACACTTTAAATGTGAAAGCTGAAGCCACTGAAACATTTTTTTCATGTTGATACCAAAAAAAGCTTTGTGTTACAGTGCAGGGAACAATCCTCTTGACTAGGCCACAAGCCTGTCTTAAATAACTACCTCATACTACTTCTGTTAAACAATTCCAGGGATTATGCTTAGCTAACTTAACTTTTTTTTTTTTTTTGTTGCTGCCTTTGTAAATGTGGTGCCACAGTGCACATCTTTTATTAGTTTACAACCTTTCAGAATTCTCCGTTCTTGGTTTCACTTGATGCAAAATAACACTCAGGGACTCAATCAACTCTAATAAAACAACTCAGTATAAAAATTTCATGGTCTTAAGACAACCTGTTCTGCACACCTTTCAACTTCAGATTTAGGCTACAGTAGGAAGAGCATGAGCTATCCTTAACTGTCCTCCAAGTTATTTTGTCACTGGTGCCATTAAGTGAGGATAGAGGTGGTCTGTTTTTACTAAACAGCAGCTCCGCAAGTCCCTACCTCCACTTATTTACAGCAAAATAAAACTAGAGTTTCTGCTCTTTAGGTAGCATAGTTATTTGTGTCTCTAAAATACATAATGCTTGCATTACAGCTATGCTGATATATATTATCAGAGACGTAGTTAAAAGACACATCCCATTCCACAAAAGTTTACGCTTCTGAGTAAGCCCACTATTATTAGTGCTATACAGTGTGAACTGCACAACCTTCCTCTATTTCAGCTTTAAATAAATAACACCCTTTAGACTAACTGCTCCCCACCACGCTTTCCAAACGCTGATGCCTGATGATGGACCTCTGCCTTTCAAGGATAAAAATCAAAGTAGCTCAGGCTCCATCATTCACAGATACAGTCTGACCTAACCCCAAAGTGAACCGGCATTTTTGATGCCAATCTTTAGACGCCAAGCTCGAAACCCTCCTGCGTCACAGGTGCTGGCCAGCACTGAGTCATCCCCTGGCCCACAGGATCACAAGGTGACTCCAAGTTGGAGCTTCTTATTTCAGACAGACATGCCCGATTCCTGTAACTTCTGAGGGGAATCAAATATGAAAGAGAATTGCTGTTGGGCACTATCACAGCCTCACTATCACTTAGTCTCCCAGCTTTCACAGAATTCCAGTTCAGTGGCACTTCAGCTCTCCATTGTAAACAAGATTTTTGTTCCTTGAATGCTACAAAAAGAGGGTTCCAGTCTCACAAATATGACAAACATGATCATTCTGTCACCCAGAGAATTTAAAGGAATGTGTAGATTCCATAAGATAATTAGGAATTGGAGGGTCAGCCTTTATATTACAGTTTGAAATGGTGCTAGCCTGATGCCCTCTTCCCTGGACTTGAGTAGATATTTGTTCCCACGCAAGCAGGCCTCCAAAGCCAGCACGGCACTCTTTTACACTGTAGTTTGTGCTCAGCAAATGGGAAACTAAAAGTGATGAAAAGACAGCATCCAAATTTTACTTGGGAATTTTTATAAACACATTAAAAAGTTACTCATATTAAGATCAGTTATAAAGTTCTTAGTCTTAAAATCCCTTTTATGTATTAGCACTGCACAAAATTGACCTGCACGCCTGTATATTCTGCACCTCAAAGAATCACAGTAGCCTTTTAACAGCACTTCCTCATAACATCATTAGGCAATTAAGCTAGCCTGAAACACTGCGCTGCATCATTATCAGATGATGCCGAAGTTTTAGAAAAGTTCTCCTCTCTCTAGTCAAAGCCCTACTTGAAAGGCCAATACTACAACAGAAAGGAGGAAAGATGACAAACCAACATTGCAGCCATTTCCAAATCATAGTTCCCTATTAGCACTTAACCACTTAGACCAAAATAAGCACACAACAAGACCTGTTCGCATTAAAAGTGTTGTAACAAGGTATTTTAAAATTTCTTAGTAGAAGCATTTGAGACCAGCAGCATACCTCAATAATTCTTTCTTCAAAGCTGAGTAGTAGTGGAAAGGCTTAATTGAAAGTGCATAAAAGTCAAGATTCTCCCAATTCCCTCTTGTGATCTGTACTCCTGTTTGTAACTATCTGCTCTTCCTTCCCATATTTAACACCAGGCTTAAAATAATTATTACACAGCCCTATTGCTGCTTCAGCAGCTGGATTTCTCCTTCTGCTTTGCTAATGTGCGCTTCAGTTCCTTTAAGTTCTCTGTCAGTACCTCCACCTCATCCATTCGTCCATTATGTTTGGCATCAAATATATAAGCTTTGATATTATCTATCTGTTGGAGAAGCAGCTCTTCCTCTATAGCCTCCTCTCCAGAGATCTCATTGCCATCCTCCACTTCAAAGGGATTGGTACAGGACCCCTCTTCAAACGGATTCCCAGAATTCCAACTGCCCCCAGGCTTTTGAAATGGATTTTCATCCTCCTCAAAAGGGTTTGAAGTACTGCCAGACGCTCCATTCGTTTGTTCATCCTCCTCCTCATTTTCAAATGGATTATATTCTTTTTTATCGCTTTGCAGAGCTGTGTCAGAGAAGGAAACCACTGGAGAAGCATCTTTGGCAAATGGGTTAGTAGGATCTTCCTCTAACCGAGGGGTGTCTGCTTCATCTTCAAAGGGGTTTAGACAGGCTGTCCCATCTTGGTCTTTGTCGCACTGTGGGACACTCTGGGGTTTGAGTGTGAAGCTCAAGTGCTCTTTAGCTGGCAGCTGCTCAACAGCAGTAGTTGCAAAACTTGCATCCCCTTTGATCTGAGTAATATCCAGATCCAACACATGTGCTGTCAAGTTCTGATTCTCTTTTGCAACTTCATGCTGATGCTGCCTGACTTCTCTGAAGTCTAAGGAGCGTGTCCTTGAATGCTGAGACATGAATTTGTGGTGTTCTCTTTCCCACTCTTTTTCACGAAGGACCTGAAGTTCCTCCCTCTGCATCTCTTCCTCTTCTGCCTGCTTTTTAGAAAGCTCAATAGCTTTCAGAGTTTGTTGTTGATCATATTCATCCTGAAGCTGCCTCAGGTTCTCTTGCAACATATGGACCTCGTCTATCCTGTTAGCTGCCTTTGCTTGCTTAATAAAGGATGTGATATTGTCAATCTGCTGAAGAAGTGGGTCTGCTATCTCACTCTCTCTCGATATGCTAGATGTAGGTAACCAGCCTTCAGATTTCCTGACTGTTCCTTTTTTCAGGTGAGTTGCATCACCATTAACTGCGGCTGCAGATCTGGAGACAAAGTCTTTCTGCTTTTCCTCTTGATTTCCATGCGTTTCGAGAGCCACCTAAAACAAAAAAATGTGCAGTAAGAGAACACCATAAGCTTGAAAAATTCCGTTCTAAAGATCCATACGTACAAGACATTAGCTGATCTTATTGACACTGCTGACTGTCACTGAAAGGGATCAGCTGTATTTTTGGTTACTTTGCAGAAAATGGTAATTTTCCTAATATTACCCGAGTACTTCCCTTCAGTTTGTTTGCCAACAATATTGATCAAAATCCGATGACATCTGCCTCTACAAACTAGAGGGCAAGTAGGAGCAGTGACAGTGCATTATATAGAGAAAAAAATGCCTAATGCAACT